TCTGTGTCTGTGTCTGTGTCCTGTTTGAACTCATTTTTGAAATGTAATTCATGTATTCAATGTAAACAGGTAAAATGAGATTAATTTAACTGATTTGATGTGAAATTAATGATATTATTAGATCCATAGAAAATTGCTTTTGATAATTTTTATTTAACAACTAAAAACATTTTCTGGTTCCAGCTTCGTAGGCGTTAGGGTTTTCTCTTTTTGACATCATAGTAAACTGATTATCTTGGGAGTTTTTTTTAACTTTTGTTTAACAAAGCAACACATCGAAAGTGTATGGAATTAGCTATTAGCAGTTTGTGCCTGATGAATTTACAGACTGCACTGTCACTAACACATTACTATGTTAATGAAGAAAACTTAAAAATGATGATTTTGAAGTTCTGGAGTTATAAGGAGCATCTTTTTATGATTTCTAAGTGGATTTATCGATGTTTATAAGCTTTGGACTAATTAGATTATATAATAATATAATATAATGATATCCTCAGAAAGTAAGAAAGAAAGTTCTGACTCAGAGAAGAAGTAATGTTAGCTTAAATACCTCAGTTTCCTCCATGAGCAAAATCAGCAGCCAAACTGCTATAACTAACTTTCCTCTCTCTCCCCTCTGGGTTGGAAAACCTCTGGACTAAACAGTTAAGTGGAACAATTGTGGAGAGGTTGAGTCTTTTGCCCTTGAATGAATTACCGCTAAACTGTAGTGATGGTCAGTTGAAGTTTGAGCAGGACCCACTGCAGCTGAACGTGACTCAGGTTCTTGTTGCAACCTCTGGTGAAAGGTGAATGTGGTGTCTGGTTTCCTGTTCACTCTCTATACCTGCTACAGAACGTATTACCAGGCTCTAGCTCTGTACGGGCAGTGATCAACCTTAACACAATGTCAGCATATAAAGGCAGCCCCCTCATTTCATTCAGTGGGACCACCGTGTTGGCAAAACAAGCACTTTACTCACTCCAGATAGATTGCTTTTTAGCATGCATCATTTAGCATCGGGCTAATATATATATGTATAAATTTCCAGAGTGGGAACAAAACTTTGTATTAACAGTAGTTTAGTGTCTTGGAAACTTATTATTATATTCTCCACTACAGTCAGACACTTACACAAAGACAGCATCTTGTTTACACTGTAGACTCTAACAAAGCCAGGATAACATAATTGCATCTCATAGCACAAAACCAACATATGATAACTGTGAAGTGTTGACAGAGGGTTTGATCAGTATCAGGGTTCAACGAGTCCTCTATACCAAAGTGCTCAGGTGGACGCTGTTGTGCATTTTGACTCTTTCATCTACTCTACTGCAGGGGGAAAATAATTCATGGTCTCAATCACTGTCCTGATGAAGGCCATGTCAGGTTGAGGTTGGCGTAAATAAGGAGTTTTAATCTAACTTCCTGATCTAAGACTGCCCGGAGAACAGGTTTCTTTTCTGTGGCCAGGTTTTTAACTCACTTGCGGTGAGGAAACCAGAGGAAATTTTGCATTTTAGGGGGACTGTTATTCGTGGTGATTAATACACATTTTGTGCTCATGGGGCAGCAGGACTGTGTATGTGGGATTGGGTCAAAATATACTACAGTGTGTGTGTGTGTGTGTGTGTTCATGGTAGTGAAAGAACATGTCACCTAGTTCAACTGTGTGTCTAACTGAATGAGTTTGTAGCACAGAGGAAGAAGATGAATATCAGTGTTTGATACACTCATAATACTTGTTAGTAGATAGATTCATTACTGTGGCTCAGGAGGTAGAGCGGGTCGTCTAATAATCAGAAGGTTGGCGGTTCGATCACCAGGTCTTCCCGCTTCATGTCATGGGATTTGTTGACTATACCCTAAATATAAAATATCACCAGACTGATGATTAAAAACACAAAACAAATCCTTTGTGAGTGTAACCATCTCTCCTCTTCCTTTTCTCTTCAGACTCGGCGCCACAGCTGCGTGGAACAGGGGCGGGGCCAAAGAAGATGGGCGTGACCTCAGCAGTGTCGGACGAGTCAGTGGCTGGCGATAGCGGTGTGTACGAGCCTTCAGAGCGCAGGTACCAATCATTTTTTATTTACCATACTTTTTGTATGAAGTACAACCAGAATATTGAACTCTCTGTCCTTTGACCTCTGTAGTCTTGCCATTGTCAAAGGTTTTCATGGAAACTTTGCATGTTTCTATAGACTGCATACAGACTATAGACTGCACTACTTTTTTACATATATTTCATTTTTTTTTATCCTTTTTATTCCCTTTTTTCTAAAAGTCTTTTAGCACATTTAATTTCACTAAAAATACTACTTGTGTATGTCACAATTCTGACAAAAATGTGCAGTAATGTAGTGAAGTTGTGGTTTTTGCAAGAAAACAGTGAGTAGATGCATTATGTCTTCACACAAAATAAACCTCCTTTAATCGCCACACTCACAAAATGTTTTTCCCTGAACTTGACAATATTATCTTTATTGTTAAAATTCGAATAATTTAGAGATTTCCGGATCCACCACTAAACAATTTTTCATAATGAACAGTATTTCCAACTAGATAGCTCGTATCCATCAATCCTTTATGGTGACATTGCTGTTACACAGCTTTAGAGAATAAACATTTGAAGTCTCAGTTTACATGTTAATTTACTCAGAAATAAGTGTGACTGTTTTTTTGCTTCTCCTCCAGGCCGGGCCTCCCTGCAGACCTCCTCCTCGGCTCCTATGATGAGCGGTTGGCGCTGGGCTGCTCTCAGGTGCAGCTCGGCTTCCGCTACGAGTCCAGAGACCAGCGCTTCACCATCTATGTCATGCAGCTGTCCAACTGCAGCGCCCTCTGTCTGCCAGCTGACCAGAAAATGTACGTCCTTTTACCTATGATTATAAGATTACACTTGTTTTAGTAATTTAGGTGTAAATGTATTGTAAATGTACAAAACCAAGAAGAAAACGAAAAAAGAAAATAAGAAAGAAAAAAGAAAACGCATGTCAACAAGAAGTGGTACAAACTTCATCATCATCAATAACAATCAACAAGTCATCACAGCACCTATTCTGTATTTTCGGGCAAAGAAGTAATTGACGTCTCAACCTTAAATTCAAATTTGATGCTTCATGTGTCCACACAGCATCATGCTAACACTCTCACCTGTGTGTGTGTGCTGCAGGTATGTGCGTTCGGCGGTGCTGCCCTGCGTGGAGGCCACCCGCTGCCTCTTCCGAACCCGCGGCTCTCTGCCTCAGGACATCGTGGAGGTCAATGAGGTGTTCAGCATGCAGATATCCCACAGTGCACTGCGGCAGAAGACACTGAGGGTCGACATCTGCAACACCAGAAAGTCGGGCCACGAAGAGTGCCTGGTTAGTAGAAGTCTCCTGTGTGGTTTTACATCTGCGGTGCAGGGAACATGTAGAGCTCGAGCTAGAGTTTGATAGAGTTTTTCTCCACTTTTTCCTGTTTTCATCCTTTTACAATCAACATTTAATTGTGTGTTTGTAGTTTGAAGGTAACCGTACATTAAAATCAGTACAATGTAAAAATTATTTTACACGTAAAAGAAACTCTCCAGCTGCTTTTTGTTTTTTTTACACTCAACACTCAAAGAATTTTCTGAACAGACACTATGAGCTGCAGTGTCCGTCCATCTTACCTCTCTCCTCCTCTTCCTCCTCTCCCCCCTCTCCAGGCCGGAGCCCAGATCAGCCTGGCTGATGTCAGCTGTTCGGAGGAGAGATGCACCAAGTGGTACAACCTGCTGAGCCGTGTCTACATGCCCGAGATGAACAACAAGGACAAAGAGAGCCGAGCAGCCGGCGGCTCTGACAGGGTACAGACACACTGTCACCCAGTGGACTGTCGGTTCGCATATGAGCCGATACTCTGACTTTCAGAGTGACATCCAGAAGTGGATATTAACATTCATTACAGCTCAGTGATTAAGTTAGAAAGTATACAGCACCCCTGCTGCTGCTTATTATTAGTGAGGCCAGTTTCCTCATTTTTTTAACCAGAGTAACATTGAAAGTAGTATTTCTCTCTGTGCTGACATGAGTGGTTATGCCTGTTTAAGTGGTTTTAATTGGGTATAAAAATACTTTGTATTAAACAAAACACGTGTCAAAAGGTTACTGCCTGTCATGTCACTATGAACACATTTTGGGAGAGAAAGAAGTGAATGGTCAGCAGAAGATTACCTCCTACGCAGTTTGAGTTTGAGAAAAATGATGCTCTTTTTGTAGTTTTAAACAATTCTCAATTCACTTCTCTGTCTGTTTGTGGCGGTTTGTCAATGTGTGACACTAAAGTAAAAGTTTACTTGTTTGACTTTTGGTAAATCTCTGTTTGTTCCTGATGTGTGTGTTCTGTGCTTCAGACTCCGGCGATTTCCAGTGTTTCCAGAGTTGGAGCTCCTGAGGACGATGAGTGGTGAGTGTTTCTCCTTTCTGTCATCTATTTTTTAAATGTATTCCCCCCTTCACTCCTGTTTTTGACCCTGCATTGTCCTCCTTTATTTCCCATTTTCCATTTTTTTATCCAGTCCCACTTGAGCAATTTTTTAAAGTAAACCTCATATTTTCACACTGAAAGATGATCCGTAGCGCTTCACTAAAACAGTCAGTTACTGTTCATGAGGAGACAAACAAACACTCACAGAATGTTACCTGACAGGTTCAGACTGTAAATAAAGCTGCTTACATTTTGGATACACCTCCCCCCCGACTGTTGACATCTCCACCGTTCCTCCTCCCTCTAACCTAATGACAATCACCAGGTGTCCTGAGGCTATGGTGCCCTTTACACACACATACACTTTGGAACAGGTGTCCTTCCCCCCTGTGTACAACAGAACAGAAGGAACTAGACCACCTAGTCAATCATTCTTCATTCACTCAAATACTAACTTGAATTTTGCTTCAATTTTACAGAAGGAAAACCGACGTAGATTTTTAGCTTTCATCTTATTTAGCTAAATAAATCATCTTACCAAGTTAACAATAATTTAGCTTCAGTGTCACTTCTTTACTCTCTCAGAACACTTATAGTAAACCAAATAGACCTTTTATTTTCTTTAACAAAAGAAGCTCTCCCAGCTGTGCTAGAAGAACAAGAACTTTAGCTAAATAAAATACAGTCTAAAATTTTCACATTTAAAGGTATATGAGTAATAATAGAGATGGAAGCTAAGTTTATCCTGTCCTCTTCTGTTGTTGATCGTCAGGCATGGCGACCCTTTGGAGGAAGACATGTTTGATGATGAAGAAGGAAATGGCGCAGAGGGAGTGGAACCACTGGAGGAAGAGGATGAGTTTTATCCTGAAAGCAGCCAATGGGAAGCAGAGGAGGAAGAGGACAAGTCGACTAAACCTCGCCCTCCTCCTCCTCCTCCACCTCCACCTCCTCATCCTCTAACAGCAGCAGCAGCAACAGCAGCCATCACAGAAAAGGTAACTTTTGTTGATTGAGGAAAGAATACAGTTTATGGTGTACTTGTAGTGTTGGATTGTGGCAAATTTATTATGTCCTTGGATTACTAGGAACGCATTTTGGTGTAGCTACATTGGAGGGAAAATGGAAAGAAAATTAAAACATTGTAGTGGCGAATTTCAAGTTTGGATGTCAGTCCTGTAGAATCAAAAAGCAATTTCCACTGACCTTTAACAATCATACAGGGAAGAACCCATCATAAAAGAGACAGAAACACATTTCAACAGCCACTGGAGCAGGAAATGGACTACAATAGATTTGTTCTTCCCATTGTCATCGTAGTACTTTCTTCTTTTTTGTCTTTTGTCATCTCAACTCATCCTCTTCCGGCTTTTGTCCTCAGTGGACAGAAGTGCTGGAGAAGTCAAAAATGTCTAAAAACATTCTTTGTTGTTGAAATTGAGGCTAATTTGAGTCTAATTTTAGTTTTATAAATCTTAAAGCCACTCGGTATTTGATGTTTCGTTCCGTCTTCTCATTGGTCTTTCAGATTTCTTAAAGGACTGAAATTGATATAATTTTCCATCCAATTTATCATCATCGTCTTTTCTTTGTCCAGGTCAACAAGGAGACAAGCATGGACAGCTTGTTGCCGTCCCACCACTGCTCTGTGGTTCGACCCAAGGAGCGCCGCCACGACGTACACCAGCAGAACCCCTTCATGAGGGGAAACACCATCATCCGCTCCAAGACCTTCTCCCCTGGACCTCAGAGCCAGTACATCTGCAGGGTAACTGACACTCACTAGAAGCTGATGTCAGCAGCATAAAAAACACATCAGATGGAGAGAAAAACAGACTTTCTGTTCTCCTAAAGATTTGACAAATATACAGTGAGGATGGAAATTCATATTTCACTCTCTTTCCAGATAAACCGCAGTGACAGCGACAGCTCCACCCTCTCCAAGAAGTCTCCGTTTGTCAGAAACGCTTCAGAGAGACGAAGCATGCGCATGAAGAAGGTAGAAACTTCTCTCCTGATCCATCTCTCTTGAAAGACAACATAATATTTTTGAGATGGTCACTGTGTCAGATCGTAGTGTCATAAATTCTTGCCGTGACATGACACCACAACCAATCATAGTTCAATCTCTTGAACGACTTATGAGACACACTTGCTTGGATAGGGGGTAACCTTGTACCAGGAACCGACTGTTCCACTCGACAGCATCAATGTCATTCCTCTCTCACTCTTAACAGTTGTGCGCAGCAGAGCGTTGTGTGCTGCTGCTGGTCAATGTCACTGGATTTCGAAACTTAAACGTGAATTACCAAATTTGTGGCTGTTCTTTGGAGTCAAAGATGACATTCAAGCCTCAGCAGTAAATCTCAATATGCTTCTTCACTCCAGCAGTTTGACTGTTTCAGCCTCAGTGATTTGACGTCTCCCCTCTATTATCTGCTGTATATCTACTGTCATCTTCCTGCTTCTTGACACTTTAATAGTGAAGTCAAAAGCAGGTTTACCGACACATTAACTATCGTCTCCGTTCTCCAGAGAGACACGGAGAGCCTATTTGCATTTTTTAAGTCTTAAAGCCACCCAACCACTCCCAGTGAAGTGACTCTTAATATTTAATAACCGTTTGAATGTTTAATGCAGCTCTGACATTTGCCTGCTTCTATTAATTTAGAGGCAGGCAGCAATATCTGCCCCATTGTCCCACCTGGGGCTCGACAGCAGCGGAAGATTCACATACGTGCATCACATATTGGTGACAGTATTAGCAAATAATTTAGGGTATTACTGTACACTCGAGTGACTTTTAGGCCCTTTTCTACGTTCCTGGCTTTATCTGTCTTTAACAGTGAGCAAAGGAACAGCTTTTGGGTTTCAGCCCAGGTCTCTGTTACATAAATGTGTTCAATCTTTCTATCTCACAGGCTGCATCAGGGAAGATTTTCAGTTATTTTGCAGTTGCAGCCTTTAGACTTTTCTCCAGAGTGACTGACCCCGCCTTTAACCGATAATGAAAATGTTTGTTGCCACCCAACTGTGTTTGTGTTTAAGGCACCTAACTGTATCCCTCCCTGTCCTCCCTTCAGCCTCCCGTTCAAGTTAAAGGTCTGGACGGTCTCTTGCGGACGTCCCTGGACCTGGAGTTGGACCTGCAGGTTTCGCGGACGCGGCAGGCCCGGCTGTCGCAGGAGCTGCGGGTGCTGCGGGAGCTGAAGACGCAACTGGAGAAGGCGAGGCAGCAAGGCCAGAGAGAGCTGCCGGCCTGGGTCCAAGAAGACGAACGCTTCCGGCTCCTCCTTAAGCAGGCCGAGAAACAGGTGCGTGACCATTGAATGAGATTTAATCAAACGGCTAAAGTTTTTACAATGCATCCAAGTGTTTTTTATCACAAGTTTTAATCTTCTAGAGGGCACTTCTAATTACATTTGTAAATGATCCTCCAACCAATATGAATGCCTATGTGCTCTTGGTCTCATTCAGACTCGTGAGGAGCAACTGCAGGAGAAGCGGGTGGAGAAGATGATGAGGGCAGCAGCCAAGGACGTGCACAAGATCAGGGGCCAGAGCCGCAAAGAGGTCCCCGAGGTCCAGACCTTCAGGTGAGAGAGACAGCCGACCAGGTTTCATCTGACATATGAGAGTCAGTTGTTGTGTGTTTGTAGATAAGAGCTTCAGCAGAATACACAAGATGAAAATGCAGCTTTATTCAATTGTATTCAACACACGTGAGCTAATGCAGAACATCAGCTATTCTTCCTGGGGTCCACACAAAACATTAAAGAAAAACATGACAACAGATTAGACACACACATACAAAACACCACGTATTAAAATCAGTCAAATATAATGAACAGTATTTTTCTTTAAAAACACATTATTATACACATTTTTTTTATATATACTTATAAATATCAATTTACACTGAATTCATAAGCACTGACTATACATACAAAGTGAAGACAGCCGAGCAATTCAGACAGGGAGAGACAGACGAAGGACTTTGATGAATACTGTGAGAATATGTTCTTTATAGAAATGTACTGTGGGGTGAGACAAATAATAATCACAGAAATGATGATATATTGTGATGAAGGAGCGCAGATGTTTCCAGATAGTTTCACTCTCTAGTTCAACCTTTTTCCAGCTGTTTAAGATTTTGACTGACAGCACATGAGGACATATTGTGAAAAAGCTTGGTGTGTTTTGTTATGCTTTATTTTATCTCACCTTTTCACTGATGACTAATGTTTGCTCATTTTAGGGGCTTTTCTTAGTCCTCATTAACCCACATCATGACCTGATGTAGATTATCACAGAATTGCCTGTTTATGATGGGCAGATATATAATAGAACATATAATATCTGGATGTACCCTGTGAATCGCACCCCAAGAAAATACAAAAATGGATTCCACATCTTTTCATATCTCACACATATCTTTATTTTATTTTCCATAGCAAGTGGACAACAGTTCTGTTATAAATCCATTTTGGAGCTCAGAAACAGTGTGAAGGACCAGGAAGAAAGTCAAGTCATTCTATTTATAAAGGCCAAAATCACCAATTAGTCTCAGAGGTCTTTAGAGACTTTAAAACAATACAGAAATTCTCACACCATTGATTTAGATAAAAACCTGACAGAAATGGCATAATTATAATAAAGAAAAACTAACTGAAGTTTGACACCCCAACTTAGTTCGAAACACTTTGAAACTAAAATTCACACATTGGTTTTGGCCTTGCAATATCTCATTGTCTTAATGTCACCGCTCTGTTTTCTGTGTTAATTTCAGAGAGAAGATGGCCTTCTTCACACGAGCAAAGACCAGCATCCCCGACCTGCCGGCTGACGATGTGTAGAGAAGCATTTCAAAGTATTTCCCTTCCTGAGTCTTAGTCTGCTGTTCCCAACACAAATGAAGCAAATGTTTGGCGGTGTTATGAAGAATTTTAAATAATAATAATACTAATAATATGTTTAGTAGAAAAAAAAACACTGAAAACCGTGAAGAAACACATTTTTAAAGAGCTCAGCATTTCTAATGTGGATAGTCTTTGTTTGTAAATTAGTGATAGCACTGCTAGAGCTTTTTTATTATTATTTCACCCTCTCTTTCACTCTGTTTATGGCGTTGTGTTTCTGTTACTAACAGGCTGTTTATAGGCTCTTAGGTGTTTAAAATCATTCCAGCACAAAGTCACACAGCTGCACATGTGCATACAAAGGGTTTTGAACTAAAATAACACATTTGGACAAAAAATATATATGTATGTCGACAGCACAAAACAATACAGAAGAAAACAAAGGTACTGAAGCAAAATAAGCAAGTTAAGCAGGTGATAAAACCTGCAAGTCATGTGTTTGTGAGAGCATTTTGAAAAGTTTATACGCTGACAAACTTAAGCACACCTGAAGCTTGTCTGATGTGTACAATATTGACAGCACAGATGGCTGTACATAAGCATCATCAGCATGCCTTCTGTTTCAGTTCTGGCATCTCTCACTACACGACACACGATACCAGAACAGAAGAGGAAAACTGGAGCGTGTCTTTACAGACATTACTAAATGAACTGGATCTCATTATAGAAGAGCAGTTTTTAATCATTGAGTGGGAGGTGAGATTCTTCTTGTTTTAGGTGTGAAGTCTAAACTCGTCTGTCACCAGTTACACACACACACACGGACACTCGGCAAAGTGTAGAAACAGCACTAACTCTCACTAACACTCAGGTAGTTGATCGGATAGTCTGCACTTTAAGAAACGAGGTAAAAAAAAATGAAAAAAAGAAACTTGATGTGGGTTTTTGGAAAGTAAAAAAAACAATCCAAAAACCTTTGCCTCGCGCTGGAATGATTGTTGATTGTTGAGGTACATGAAGATTGTCGAAACACACACAGGAAGTGAAGATCAAATGTATTTTTGATGACTGTGAACTTACTGATTGTATGACTAAAAGGAAGTGACTAAACCCCCCCGCCCGACCGCTCCCCCTGATCTTCTCTTGATTGACTGGTTAAAATGTTTTCTACCGTAATGACATATGAACACTACGTTTGGTCAGTTTATGTTTTAGACTTCCCTCTGTTTTCACTCTCTAACTGGATATTTCTCATGTCTCTTACAACTGGACGTTAGCATGGTGCCCCAGCAAAACTAAACAAATCAATTGAGTCTTCAAAGCTGCTTATCTTGATGTTTATCTTAATGTGAAAGGGGTCTGAACCTGCAGGTAATTATCAGTCCTTCTCAACTCTTACAGCCCACAACTGGTAGTGTCATTTTAGGCCACCAATGTAGCAGCTAAGCGCTAAAGACCCACTGTGTAATACCTGCTCACTACCAAACAGCAGGCAGACACAGTTCGAGGCTACCTGGTGAAGACAGGTGAGAATTTAGCAGCGAAAGAGTCAGATATTTCCCTCAGGAGTTGGTAGAGACCAAAAATGGAGCTAAAAGAGGTGGACCCGCACACGACTTCAGGTCCCGATAAAGTGATAAGATTATAATGTTACTTTTTGTTCCATCCCACAATTAATTATAAGTTCTATACTGTCTTGCAACCACTGGCAGAAAGGAATATTCTCACTGAGATGGAATAATTAGTTGTCTTTGTAGGTTTTGTTTGGCTCAGGTGGTGAAGTTTCAGCATTTGTTTAAGGTTACTCTGCTGCGCGTTGTAATATATGTTCTGTTTTAAAATCAGCACGATGACCAAACAGACACGAGTCTAATCTATCAATACATATATTACATGTATGTGTGACTTTTCCTAGTACTGCCAGTCCTTGAAAGTTCTCCATAGTGCTCGTGTCCAGTGGGTGCAGAAAGGTGAGAAAGAAATGTTCTGAAATAAGTGGATTTAGCAACTCAGTGTGAAGAGAAACTAAGTTATTAGTTAGGATGCAGTTTTCAATTCAAGAAACAGTCACTCCAAGCACCCTGAATTAATAAACACTTGTAGAGTCAAACATTCATAAGTTCATAAATGTCTTCAGATAATGAAAGATGATCCCTGTGTACATGCAGAACCTCCCTATATGCTATCAATTTAAAGATCTTCTATTTTCAGAATATTTTATTGCAGATTGTTGGATACAATCCACATTAGTACATAAAATAAATCTTAATTTTTCCCCCTGTATGTGCAGTGCGGCTCAGTCAGATGTCGGATAACTGTACGTGCTCCTGTGATGTGATTTATATTCAACTCAGTGGAGACTTACTGAGGTCTGACTTTGCTTTCAAGGCAACCAGACTTATAAATCAGCAGCAGACCTCGACTCCGGCACATCTGTTGTTTACTGCCTTTTTATGTTTGTACCTGGATGTTGAGTAGCTGTTGGAGAGGTTGTTCTTGGTACATTTCACCTGCGTTAATGCACAACATCTCCCTGAAATTCTTCACTGTATATTCAAAGTGATCCTGATAACTGGACTCACGTAGAAGACCTGAAAGACCTGATATGTTGATATATTTTAGCAGCAGAAGGAAAAAGACCAGAATGCATTGCAACAAAAAGAGAGGTTTAGTTATATGTGCTGGAAAAGCTTTCTCATTACTGTGCTTCTACCTCATTGTTTTCTTCATATATAAAAAGTCGTGACTACAGCACAAAGAAGCATTTATCTGCAGAGGGGCCTTTGTGAGCAGTTCACAAAACGTTTAGGAAAACAAACAAATGAGTAATAAATAACTGACTAATAATGGTGAGCAGTATATTGCATCTCTGCAAGAGAGATCTCGACTTAAGGCAGCACCGTTTTCTGGCTGAAATCATCAAAATAAAATACTGAAAAATCTTAGACAAAGAATTAGGTATAACTAAACCATTAGGTTTTAAACAAGGAAGATAGCCCTACTAGCACTATAAAAAAAATAAAAAAATCACAGGATATCGGTAGTTATTTCTCCCCTTAAATGTTTTGTTCCAGAGGTGGCTTGGTCTGGGGGTGCATTTTCAGCAGCACAGACGCTACTGAATGATCATAGAAATAGAAGGGCAGGACTGAGAGAAAAAGAGCCATGGTCTGGGCAAAAGACTCAAACCTCATTCAGATGAAGGATCAATGAGTCAAGTAGATTAGAATGTCATATACAAGTAAACAACTCTGCCCCTGCACTCTCTCTCTGCTACTGGGGAATACAAAGGGGAGATGGCAGGTTAACAAATCACCTACTGAGCTAAACACAAAAAAGGAATATAAAGAAAACTTTGCTACTGAAATCTATAGCTGACGGCAACAACTTGTTAGAATGCATTCTGGAAAATGTAGAAAATGAGTGAAGTAGAAGCACGCAGGTTGAGAATGAAACATACTAAATTACACCTACTGGACACAAAATAATTCAATATTTTGAACACAAGGGATTTTAACTTGTATAAAAGTTTCAAAATCTTTCCTCCAGGGGTTTTTTCAACGTGCAGAAAAACGTGATATTAAAAGTCGAATGGAAGTCCCTCACTTGTGACATTCTGTTGTGATTTAATCGACTCATCTCTGTGGCGTCTCGGTTCTCTTCTTGCTGGGTCACCATGCTAAACATGTATATTGGGTGCGTTGGTGTCCATCACGCAGCACAAACCTTTCATATAATCGCGTTTCCATTCCCGGTGCAAACAAGGATGTAGCTGACACAAAGCTAACTGCTGTTGCCATTCCAGATGTTTCTCTGTTACTGTTTGTGGATAAACAGCGGCTCATAAGAATGCTTGAACTCTAGATCAGATGGAGAGTCGACCTACAACCTTTTTTTGTAGTTCATGTCTTGCCTTTGGTGTCTGTATGTGTAAGACCAACAGAGGAAGTTTACTTTGACCTATTTTTCCTGTTAAATATTTCCACTTCCTGCTCCTTTTTTTAATGTCACCCTGCAGAAGTCTCCAAAAGAGTCCCAAAAATAAAATCAGCCTTGTTTTCTGATAAATACTGTAAATGTTTTAAATCCACAGTTAAAGAAATATAGTCACAACACATTCAGGTTAGACGTAGGAATATTTTGCACAAGTGTCTATAAGAATAATAAATATCCCACAAATACTTAAAACACTACAGCTCTTCATCCCTCGTCAAAAAAAAGACTAAACGAAAGGTGTAACTGGATGGGAACGGAATCAAATGCTGGGAGGACGTTCACACTGAGGCTGCGTTCACACTGCTGGAACTGAATGTTTGATTCTGGCCGATACCTGATATCCGTCAACAGTCACACTTCTGAACAGCAGCTGTACAAAACGATCAATACCAAAGATTAAACACCTGAAGTACACAAACTGAAATGGTCCAGATAAGACTTTACCAGCCCGCGTTCGAGTGCTTTAAAGTTTGTTTTTGGTCCGTGTGGACACCCATAGTACCATCAGCAGAACCTTGCGTCCATATTGGAGTACATTGGGGACTTAAGACAGTATATAAAACCTAAATCTGCTATGATTTCAGATGGAGTAAAAATAAAAAGTACAATAACTCCTCTAAGGTGAGATGGAGTTCACATGCAAAGTAGGATATCACAATACAGTAAAGTACCTCAGAGTTATAGTTAAAATACCGTACTTGAGGTAATCTACACCTGCCTTATATTCTTGTTAATCTACACTTATTACAAACATTTACTTGTTTGTAAATGTGACACCTCAGTATACTGTAGTCCAGCACCAACACCACCTTTACCTTCTGGTACCAGTGGATGCCTTAGGTCATTTGGTCTTATACGATACCAGTGTCTTCACTCTAGCTTTAAAACTGAGCCCCGCTACAGCCTCTGAAAGACAGCAATGTTGGCGGAGGATGTCGGCGTCCTGGCGGAGCTGAAGAGGTCAAACACACGGGTCCGTTGGAGATCAGTTTCTTCCTTCCTAGCAACATTTTAGATAATTATGCATCCTGAAGGTGCGATAAAATGTAACACGAAAGGATTTTTTCAGCTGTTTAGAATGCTACATTTAGCGTTGTCAACAGCTCAGACTCTTGACTGGCCCTAGAACTCGCTTCGGTCCTTAGTTAGTTTCCTCCAATCTCTCCTGTTCATGGAGTCATGGGGCGAAGGGATGAGCACATATTGCCTCAGCTTGCACAGGCGCATCTTTTTTCCTCGCAGCGTCGACACCTTAACGCCTCACTTTCTCTACACTGAACGGCTCCACCGTCATGCCAAACTGGAGCGTCTTACAGGAGTTCTAACTGGTCTGTTCAGGTGGAGGTCACGCGGCCGTAAATAAGAAACGTCTCAGATTGAGGAACCATATATGAAAGTTACAACATATCGTGGAGTCGTGCGACTGAAGCGGTCAGATCTGGTTCCTGCGTCCTCCCGCAGTGTGAATGCAGCTGCGCGCTCTGAGGGTTGAGGGTTTTACTGTAGCAGGAACACTGTGGAATTAATGAAAGCCTTTGGAGTTATGTGAGAGACTGTGCCTTTCGGAGAGCACATAAACTTTTTTTTTTTTTTTAGTTTTTTTTTAATGTCCAAACCCCCAGCCGCCATCGTCTGATCTGAAAGAAATGTAGAGAAAGGTTTGCATTAATTTTCCTAATGTAAACAGGTTTTTTTTTTGTTTTCCTCCACTGTAGAGTAGTTCTGAAGAATAGGACTCTGTGTAGTCTTGAGGATCAGTTCTGTCTCTTTTGAAGTCCATTAAACTTTGTCATGATCGACCGAATGTTGTTTAACCTCCTAAATCAGAAAAGACTCATTTATATATAACAACATCTGGATGAAGGAATGTAGGTTTTTGTTATGAGAAATCACGATCATTCAGAGAAAAAAAGACAAATGCTGTTAGTCACAAATAATTATTTTTTTCATCATGTAGGTTGTGATAATTCTTATTTGTTTTCTTGTTTGTTTTCTGAAGTTTAAGTGCATTTTTTCCTCATGTGATTATTGTTTTTTTTCTTTTTCTAATGAATCTGTGTTACGACTGGTGATGAACCTGGTAATGTGTATGAAGGCGGCTATGAGAAACATACAGCATGTATTTATTGCACTTTGTGATTTGGGTGTGCTTTTCCTGTTTTTCTTTTTATCGCGAGAGTCCCGAAAAGCTGTGAATTTTATTCTCAGACACTGTACTGTCGACCAGAGTTGTAAATATTTCACCAGCACAAAAAAAACCAAACAAACAATATGTTTTGTAGTTTCACAACAAATAAAAAAAGTTCTTCTCTTCTATTTTGATGTTTTGTGGGTTTTTGTTTCTTACAAAATTAAATTATTCCCTTTGTGTATGGATGTGCTGCACTTTTTTGTTTTCAGGACAACTGGGACTTTTTGACACTAAAAAAAACATTTGAAATAAGTAGTTGTGGTCAAGATTTTTAATGGATGATATGATTGAGGTTTGCCTGGATAAATCCAGTTACAGAATTTATTTTATTAGTGACAGTATGAATGTTTTAGTAGGGGAGTCTGACTTGTTAGGGAGAGCAGGGAAGAGTCATTAAACATTTAATTTCAGCCTTTCATTATACCTTTTATTTATTATATAACATATATTTCAATAGTCACATAAAAGAGTTATTATGGTTAAGTATTTTTCATTTATTCTTATTTTTATTTTCAATTCAGGTTAGTTTCTGTTAGTTTCTAGAGTGGGTTTTAGTTTCAGTATTATTATTTTTTAATTATAATATGGGTGGTATTTGTCAGGAGCAAGGTTTAAGCTAAGTTCACAATATGTATTACAATGCAAACTTGACTTTTCGAAATTTTACCAAACTGACAAAGACTAAAAATAATTTCCTGTGTGTTTTTTATTTTATTTCAGTTCATTTTGTAAGCACACACTATCAAGTCTAGCTTTTATTTTCCTTCCAGTTAACTAACATTTATTTTTACACCTAGTTTTATGTTTTAGTTCCCTCTAGATCCGCCTTTTGATAATGAAATATCTGCCTTAAATGTGTATTTCAGTACTGTGCTGGAGTTTCAGTATATTTCTGTATGTAGTTTCCACAAACATCCAGGGGGTGGCGGTGTCCACCTCCTACGATGCTCTGCGACCCGCCAGTAAAAACGAAGGAGAAGAAGAACACGACTACGTTTCCAGCACCGGAAGTATAATATAAAGTTGTGAACTTCTTCCTCTCCTCGCAGTTTGTTTCATCAGCCACGAGATTCCACATCCAGCCGGCAAAAACAGTCTCTCTGCAGTGTTTCGGAAAGATGGGAGACGCCGTAACCGAGTACACAGCCCGACTGCAACAGCAGGTAGGCGCTCCGTTTGTGGGGAACGAGGCTAAAAATACGTGTGTGACCAGAAGAAGACGCAGCGCCAAACTCAATTTAAAAAACCGTGGATTTAAAGTTGTTCTTCTTGTCAGCGCAAAAAACGGCAAGACCGAACAAATTAAAGATGGTCTGCTGAGAAGGTTGTCACCCATCTGAAATTCGGCTATCCACCCTTAAACCGAACCCCGCTTATTTTAGTAAAGATTTAACTAGTTGTCCTGTCTTCAACCAACCCACTGTGAAGTGATGGCACATCAACGAGTAGCAGTGTGTGGTTGTCAGGAGTGTTTTTAGTGATACAAAGCGTTGTGTTGTTACTTGGTGTCTCATTTCAAAGCCGAATTGACCAGGATGTCTAACGGATGTGCGACCCTATTGCCAATGTAGAAAATATTAAATGAGCAGATATTTAAATTAAGTATTGTGCTAATAAATTCACCTCCATAGATAATAACTGTTTGCACTACCTTTAACTGTTAAGTCACATATCACACTGTACATATCTTACTGATAAGTGAAATAAAACTGAAAGGTAAGGTACACCAAGCGATTAATTAAATGATATTAGGTTTACAGTTGACTGCTCTGTTTATTATCGGGGTGTTTGGGGCCCTCTAGTGGTCCTGCTGAATAGGACGCTGCGTGGTTTCACACTATGCAAGGAAAAGACCTGGTTTCATCATTTAGATATTACTTAAAGGCTGCAATTAAGGAATATTTCATTTTGTTAGGGGAAGAAAATGGCCATTGCAGTTTCCCAGACACAAAAGACTCCAACGATAAAAGTGTCATGCATGAAAAGAAGCAGCGAATCCTCACATTTAAGAACCAGGAAATGTTTTATCTTTTGTTTGTTTTACAGTTAAAGAATCAGTAATGAATCAATCCTCAACATAGTTGTTCATTAATTTTCTGATGGTTGATTGTTTCAGCTGTAATTCACTTAAACAGCTTTCACTTTACAAATTTCCCCCCGCGGATCAATAAAGTATTTCTGATTCTGATTAAACAAGGATAGTGAGTGAGTGATAGTCTGTTATAGTATATAAAAAAAGCTAAGTTGATAAACTGTATGTTAAATTAAAGTTTCCAGGACACTTTGTACTCTACTGCAGTCTGAACTTTTGTTGCATCATGTGCCGACAACGAAGCAGCTTTTTGTTTCATACTGACTTACTGAACTTGAGTGTCAATGTGAAACTCAACATGGCCTAATTTATAATCAGAGTTCCTCACAGTGATTGCCTAATACATTTAAACTTTTACTGCTGTTACCCAACATTGTAGGCTGAATGTTTATGATTCACATTTACTGTTGAAAATCTCAAAGTTTATTCAGATTGATTAAAGTCTGCTGTAAAAGCAATGATTTACTTTGTGTCTCTGATAAGAAACAATTTGTGCAGTATTGTTTACTGATTACATCGCTTTCGGTCCCTCCCTTTAGAGAAAATCAAGATAATAAAAAGGATTATGTTCATGGATTCACTCACACAGTATATGCTCTAAGTTTTAGAACTACACTCAATAATTCGGTGGATGTCTGAATTGGTTTGGCAGATTCACACCATTAAAAGTATGCTGATCGATCTATTAGCAGTCAGACAACTATGACTGAATATCTCTTTTTTTTTTTTCCAGGAGCGGGAGATCCAAAGCCTCTCTGCAGAGATTGAGAGCCTAAAAAACCCACAGAACCTGAACTCATCAGCACGTCTGGATGAGCTGCGGGAGGAAAACGCCAGGCTGAAGTACCGCCTCAACATCCTAAAGAGGGTGAGTGACGCAGCAGGGGGCGCTCTCCGCTCTATAGAGGGATACAACTCTGCTTCCAGCTGTGCTCCAGCTGCTGCTGCAGAGTAAATAAATAAATAAATACGTAATACAATTCTGAGGATCACCTTCCCAAAGAAATGAGAAAAAATCCTAAGGGGAAAATCTAATAAATACCATATAGCTAGTTCTAAAAGTGGCTTTGGACTGAGTTGGTAGGTAAGCTCATCCCTTTTCCTGAAAAAATGTTCTTTTGGCGTTCACACACTGTGCTTTCGGCTCAGCGCCTCTACCTGCCGTTACAAATCCAAACACTGTATTCAGGCTCATATTTCCTCACAGCACACTCTTTGGAGCATTTTGCCCCATGACACTTTTGTATTTAAAGAAACGCTCCGTTTTGCGTCACTGTATCCGAGGGAGCGTTAGCAGTGGCAGAACACATTTGTACCTGATGATGTGTCGTGATTGAAGTGCATGCATTTTAATTAGAATTTCTCTCGAGCACTTTTAGATATAACAATAACTAGCTTTGTAAATTAAAACCTAGAAAAAAAGAATTTTCCTGGTTGAGAATGGCTGAACTAAATCACATGTTTATTTCTCAAAATACAGATGACTCATATGAGCCGTTTCAGTTTCAGTATTGCCTGGTGTACACATTTTCCAATCTCTACAGAGTAACAATTACTCGTCTGCAACATAACCGCTAATTACTCCACCACCAGAGGAAAAACAAATGCATTTTCTTTCATTTTGATTACTGTCAGAAGTAATATGATATAGATTTTTTTTTTTCAAAACATCATAAAATACAATAAAACATAAAAACTTTTCAAGCCACTAAACCAGTAGGTTTGTTCCAGCAGCCATCATCTTCATAAAAAATACGGCTAAATGTGTTCTGTTGCACTTCATCTTCCTCTTCCTCCTCCTCATGTATCATCACTGTGTTTATGTCCTCAGGGCCTCCAGGAAGAAAGGACTTACTGCAGTAAATCCATGCTGAACATCAACCATCGGCTCCAGGAGATTTTCAGCGAGGCCATCCGGGCCTCCTGCCCCGAGCTGGACAACCCTCCACTGGCCGTCGCGCCCAACCAGCAGGCCAAGTTTGGAGACTACCAGTGCAACAGTGCCATGGCCATGGCCCAGGTGAGACTGCCAAGTCTGTCTGTGGATTATAGAAGATTACTCTTTAAATGGGGTTAAATGACAGTTTCAGTGAGTCTGCAGGTCCTGAAATTGTTTGAATGTCTTGTCATGGTTCAAGGTTTAAAAGACATTTTATTAAGCCTTTTCTTTTCAGTAATAAACAGACCTGTCCTCAGAAAGGACTCAGACTTAATATGCCAATTTTTAACAACATTGAAGGTTTTTTGTTTGTGTACTTTTATTGTAACAGTGCAGTGTTTAATATTGTTCTGTGGTGGCCGACTGCTGAACCAGTAAAGTCAAAGTCAAAAAGTAAATCACCGCAGGTTTCACCATCTGTAAAAATATAATACATCAAATTTAAAAATTGCAAAACTGCAAAAAAAAAAAAAGTTACTACACACATTGTTTAGCTGTTTGTTTCTTTAGGCATGAGAAGAGGGTATTTTTTTTATTTCAGCTTAATAATTGTAAAACTCTCTCTGGCTTTGTGGTGCTGCAGATGCTGAAGGCAAAGGGAATGAAGATCAGCCCGAGGGAAATCGCAGAGAAGATCATCCAGAACCTTCCGGACAACGAACTCATCCAGAAAACTGAAATCGCAGGACCGGGTACGGACGCGAAACATCTGGCTGTGTTTTATCTTAGCATTAGTGGAAATACAGTTGATTGAAGCTCTTCAGTCAGCAGATGTGTTAATGCCAGATGTCAGACAGACTCCTTCTCTAGTATTTTTCTATATTCTCACACCAGTGTAAGAAGTGATTCAGTCTCATCTTCCCCTCTGATGCCTCTTATGTCTTCAGGCTTCATCAACATCCACCTGAAGAGGCCGTTTGTGTCCAGACTGTTGAGCAACCTGCTGATCAACGGGGTGCAGCCCCCCCCACTCCCCTCCAGGAAGAAGGTGCGTCACACTCCCGCATGTAGCACGAAGCTAGACACATTTAATAGCTTCACACCATGAGAAGTGAGGCTTACTACAGGGTTGGTTCTTCCTGCAGAGGGAGTGGAGGGACACACTATTTTAATAAAACATTCAGACATGCTGCTCTGTATATCCCTGCTCTGTTTGTGAGGTATCCCATCTGTTGCACCACTTCTCTTACACCACATCCCTCCAGACTAGAAAAAATATTATTACCCAAGGGTCCCTCCGGATTTAGCGCAAATCTTAACCGAACTTACAGAAAAATGGCCAAAGAAAATCAATCCATCGACTACTGCTAAGGGAATTTTAGGAGTTGAGATCAGAGGTGTGGACTTGATCCCCCAATCGTTCCAGTATGATTGAAGTTAATACGATACGACAAGACATGGCTGAACGTGACAAAATTCAAGTTAAATAAGTTAAGCTGCACGTCTTTTAGCAAATACATACACATTTTTAGAAGCATTAAAGGTTTGTGTATTACATTTGGTGAAAACATGACTTTTTTACGACTCAGTCAAACTTTAGGACTTGAGTGCAAAGACTTGAGA